TGAAAGGTACAGCTGAAGTGTACTGATGTCTGTAATTTTTTTTTTTTTTTTTGAGATGGAGTCTTGCTCTGTCGCCCAGGCTAGAGTGTAGTGGCATGATCGTGGCTTATTGCAATCTCCGCCTCCCGGGTTCGGGCGATTCTCCTCCCTCAGCCTCCTGAGTAGCTGGGATTATAGGTGCGCACCACCATGCCTGGCTAATTTTTGTATTTTTAGCAGAGACAGGGTTTCACCATGTTGGTCAGGCTGGTCTCAAACTCCTGACCTCATGGTCTGCCCGCCTCAGCCTCCCAAAGTGCTGGGATTACAGGCATGAGCCACCACTCCAGGCCAATCAATAATTTATTTTAAAATGCACACACACACAAAAATGGAGTGCTGGGTAACGTGGCTCATGCCTGTAATCCCAGCTCTTTGGGAGCCCATGGTGAGAGGATTATTTGAACTCTGTAGTCCCAGCTACTCCAGAGGCTAAGGCATAAGGATTGCTTGAGCCCGGGAAGTTGAGGCTGCAGTGAGCTGTGATCACACCACTGCACTCTAGCCTGGGAAACGAGTGAGGCCCTGTCTCCCAAAAAAAAAAAAAAAAATGTGCCATGGATGGATGGCTGCATCTTTATAAAGCATCCATAGCAAAATGTTACAGAATCTAGCTGATGGGTGTGTTCCTACATAATTTTTCTATATGTTTGAACATTTTCATAATAAAAGGTTGGCGGTGGGCCGTGTCTAACTTTTGACCCAATAGCTGGTGATCCAATTCCACACACAGGAATTCCTTTGGAAATAACAATAATAATATACAAACATTTTGCTACAAGAATGCTCACCGCAGTCACATCGATAACGACGAAAAAGTGTAAGAACCTAATTGTTCAAAAAGGGACTTGCTCAGTGCTGTGTAAGCCACGCTGGCGCCAGAGGCAAAAGGAAAAAGATAAATAATACTGATCCTGTTTTTATTTACAGTTCTGATTCTTTTCTCATCATAAATTTTTGCATTAATTTTAATTTTTAAAAGACACAGTTAAAATATTATGTATAGTGATCACTGACTTTTCTTCATGTCCCCCAATTTTATGCCCTACGTAAGCATCTCACTTGCCTTATTCTAGACCCACCTCATCTTTGCTAAGTAAGTATAGTATCATGATTAAGGGTTTGGAGATCCAGCTATAGCTCATATTAGCTGTGTGGTAGTGAGCAAATTACTTGACTTCTCTGGTGTTCAGAGACGAAGTCATCAAATGCCATTATTTTCGTCAGTGCAGCTGGTACCTCCCCTGACTAAGATCCCCTTTTCTAGAAGGTGCACACACCATTCAGCTGTTGTAAATGCTGGTTACAAAAGGCTCTGAGCTCCACCCTCCTCTGGAGAACTGCCCTTACTGAAGGCTATGCCCAGATGCCCACGGCCAATGACTGACCAATACGGAACACAACCCCCAGGTCTCCCTGCCTCAAGGCGCCACCAACTCGGTGACGCAATTCACACCCATGGCACTGGGCTGAGGCTGGGGCTCAGCTGAAACCATGTCTGGACTTAGCTTTGTCCCCTGCCCCGGTCTGTTGCCCTTTTATCCTTACGGGTTTCACTTGAGAGCTTTCCCTCAATCAATCGCTGCACCAGAATCCTCATCAGCTCCTGCTTCTAAGGAACCTAACCAAAGACCACCACCACCATCACCACCATCACCACCGCTAACTGAGCGCTTAGTATGTGCCGGCATTGCACTGCATTACATTGCTGTATCACACCATCAGCCCCTCCCAACAAGGAACGGAGGCTGATACCATTAATATGATTATCACTCCCATTTTACAGATGGAAAAACTGTGGCAGAGAGAAGTGAAATGACCAACCCAAGGTCACACGGCTGTTAAGCAGTCGAATTTGGCATGCCCAGCCTCACACCTGTGACAAGCTCTATATCCTGGCCCTCACCAAATCAGTCTGGATGGCAGATGAGCACCTAGAAAAGCAGGGACCAAATGGCAGGTGGGATCACCCAGTTCTGCCTCCTTCCAGAAGCGGGAGAGGGGCACAGAAGTGAGCTACGAAGCCAGATGTCTGCTTGTTCCCTCCTGGCTTCCTTTAGGTACAGAGCGGTCTGCAAGTGTGACTATAAAAAGCTTCGCTTCCTGAAAACTGGGGCAGCACAAGCATCCCCCCCCCACCCCCCCACCCCCCGCAAGAGGACTTTTTCTGCAAAGTCTTCTGTTCTCTTCAGGAAACTCTTGGGATGTTTCTGGGCATCAAAAAAGAAAGAAAACCATCTCTTTCTTATATAATTAATCCAAAAAATGCTGGAGACGCTGCCGAGATCCAGGAAGCAAATGGGAATTTCATCTACAATGTGAGGTGAGACACAGAGATCGCCATTTCCAGATAAGCATGTGTGGTTTCACAAATCAGAAAATGGGCCAAGCGCGGTGGCTCACGCCCGGCATCCCAGAACTTTGGGAGGCTGAGGCAGGTGGATTGCCTGAGATCAGCAGTTTGAGACCAGCCTGGCTAGCATGGTGAAACCCCGTCTACTAAAAATACAAAAATGAGCTGGGTGTGATGGTGGGCGCCTGTAATCCCAGCTACTTAGGAGGCTGAGGCAGGAGAATTGCTTGAATCCAGGAGGTGGAGCTTGCAATGAGCTGAGAACAGGCCATTGCATTCTAGCCTGGGCAACAGAGCAAGACTCAGTCACACACCAAAAAAAAAAAAAAAAAAAGAAGAGAAGAAATCAGAGTATGTCAATCATTCATTCACTCAACAAACATTCCCTGGACAGTTACTTTCTGTAAGACAGTGTTGGGCCTGAGGGGACCTATAGCCTCTGAAGAGCTCAGTGTATCTATCTGATTCTTAGCCATTTAAGGTTGGAAGGTGTCCCCAAAGGCCATCTCAAATCTGAGGCTATCCCATTTTCGTCCCAAAATCTAACACAAACATGTATAATTTCAAGAATCTCTGGTCTGGTGGAAGAGAGAAATAGGAGGGAAAAAAAGAACAATTGCCAAGGGCTCTGATGAACAAGTGAATAACATGCTATAGAAACGTAATGGGGAGGGGGTGAGCCACAACCAAGAAATTCAAAGGTTGAGGAAAGAAGGTCACAGGGAAAATGATCACTTATTAAGGACTTACAATGAAAAGAGGGTTATCAGGGTGGGGTTTTGAAGGATGAACAGGAGTATTCCAAGAGGGCTGAAAGAGAGAGCAGCACATGGAAAGGCCAGGAAGTATGGGCACATTCAGTCTTGCCCTTGGAGTTTTGGACATGTGGGATCCCTGCCTATGGCTGCCTTCCCCTCCTCTCCCACCTCCAAGGTAACCTTCAGCTTTCCCCAAATCTCCTGCAGAAGGCTCATTTATACTACCCTCTTCACATCCTGCTTCCTAAAAGATCAGACATTCCAGGACTGTGCATCCTAGACCAAGAGGTACACTAATATTATGTTAATAAAGAAGGCTGGGGCTGGGCGCATTACATACCTGTAATCCCAGCACTTTGGGAGGCTGAGGCGGATGGATCACCTGAGGTCAGGAGTTCAAGACCATCCTAGCCAACATGGGAAAACCCCATCTGTACTAAAAATACAAAAATTAGCCAGGCTTGGTGGTGGGTGCCTATAATCCCAGCTACTCAGAAGGCTGAGACAGGAGGATCGCTTGAACCCGGAAGGTGGGCAGTGAGCCGAGATCGCATCACTGCACTCCAGCCTGCGAGACAGAGTAAGACTCCATCACAAAACAAAACAAACAGAAAAGAAGGGGTACAGTGGAAATAATAACAACCACTCATGAGGATTTACTGTGTACCAGGAAGTGGTTCTCGCACATCTTACCTCACTTAACCCTCAATGCGTCCGTCAAGCGTTGAGTCCTGTGAGTGATGATCCTCATTTTACAGAGGACAGTGCGGTATGAAGAGCCAAAGGGACTTGTCCACGGTCACTGAGCTGGCAAGAGGGCTCTGGGACTGGGACCCAGGCTTGTCTGATCCCAAAGCCTTTCACCCCCTCATCCTCTACACTTCTCTTGTCTCCCAGCCCTCTCGTGAGGCTCAGGAAAAGCCTTCTGAAGTCTTGCCCAGTTGCATTAGTTTTCCTTGCTCGTCGACTGGCCTGGAGACGAATTCCCAGGACTATGACTGGGAAGGCTGGCTCGCGAACTCAGCTTCAACCTCCTTTTTTTTTTTGCTCCCTTTCAGATGGAGCAACACCGTCAGGCAGAATGTAGCTGATGGCGCGGGGCTTCCGCCTAAGGCCTGCATCGCCTGAGGCATGGTTTTCTCGCCTTGTATGAAGCCCACCCCCTTCAAAAGGTTGTAACAACAACAACAACAACAAAATAAAAACTGAGATAATTTGTGCCCCTGGTACATAGTTAACACTCAATAAGGCCGGGCGTGGTGGTCACACCAGTCATCCCGGCACTTTGGTAGACTCGGGCGGGTGGATCACTTGAGGCCAGGAGTTCAATACCAGCCTGACCAACATGGCAAAACCCATATCTACTAAAAATACAAAAATTAGGCCAGGCACGGTGGCTCACGCCTGTAATCCCAGGACTCTGGGAGGCCGAGGTGGGTGGATCACGAGGTCAGGAGTTCAACACCAGCCTGGCCAAGATGGCGAAACCCCATCTCTACTAAAAATATAAAAATTAGCTGGGCATGGTGGTGGGTGCCTGTAATCCCAGCTACTTGGGAGGCTGGGGCAGGGAATTGCTTGAACCCGGAGGTGGAGATTGCAGTGAGCCGAGATCATGCCACTGTACTCCAGCCTGGGTGACAGAGCAAGACTCCATCTCAAAAATAAATAAATAAATAATACAAAAATTACCTTGAATGGTGGTGTGTGCCTGTAATCTCAGCTACTAGGGAGGCTGAGGCAGGAGCATTGCTTGAACCTCTAGGTGAAGGCTGCAGTGAACGGAGATTGCACCACTGCACTCCAGCCTAGGCGACAGAGCAAGACTCTATCTTGAAACAACAAGAAAAACATTCAATAAATGGTGACGACAAGGGATGATGGTTTTTCCGTTATAATTCCTATGATCTCACTGTTGAAATGAAGCACAGAACCCTAGACAGTCAGAGCCAGGACATCAGCAGGGTCCAACCTAGGCCAACCCTCCCACTTAATAAAGAAGCCCAAATGGCCGGGCGCGGTGGCTCAAGCCTGTAATCCCAGCACTTTGGGAGGCCGAGGCGGGTGGATCACGAGGTCGAGAGATCGAGACCATCCTGGTCAACATGGTGAAACCCCGTTTCTACTAAAACTACAAAAAAATTAGCTGGGCATGGTGGCGTGTGCCTGTAGTCCCAGCTACTCAGGAGGCTGAGGCAGGAGAATCACCTGAACCCAGGAGGCGGAGGTTGCGGTGAGCCGAGATGGCGCCATTGCACTCCAGCCTGGGCAACAAGAGCGAAACTCCGTCTCCAAAAAAAAAAAATAAAAAATAAAAATAATAAAAAAAAAAAAAAAAAAAGAAGCCCAAATCAAGGGCTGCCCTAAGGCCTCACAGTCCGTCGGCAGTGGGCGCCCTCACGGATATCTCCTAGGAATTGTGCCTGATCTGAACTTTGACAGCGTCTGCAGCCTCACGTATTACCTGTTTCCCCAGTCCTTTCTACCCTGGGCAAACTGGACAGATGTTCATCCGGGAATGTGCACACCATCTCTCATTCAGCCTTTCCACATGCTGTTCCCTCTGGCTAAGACACCCTTCCACCCCTTCCTCACTTGGCCAGCATCCAGTCCACCACAGCTCAGCTTCATACTCCCCTGTTTCCTTATGTCCATGGGGGCAGGGGGTACCTCTGGGCTCCCACCTTGCCTATGTAAACCCCACCGAATCACACAGTGTACCTGGCTGTTATCTGGTTTACCCAACAGTCTTTCCCTCTGGGTCCTGAACCCGTGGGCGACAGGGACGTGTCCTGTCCACCCTTGATACCCAACATCCTCAAGAGGATCTTATCACACCCACCGTGCGAAATGGAGGAATCACTGAGGCTTGAACCCAAGTCACAGAACTCCCAACATCCCTCTCGGGAGACTTGTTTCCAAGGCAACAGGGAAAAGAATTCAGATAAAAGACAAAAAAATAGAAATGACTTGCTTTTTACAAGTCAATCCCAGATTATTTATAAACTAAGCCCAAGAAGATTTCCTTGTGTTAATTTATCACATTCTTCTTCAAATAGTCATTTCAGTGACCTAAGATGTCTTTAATTAACCTTGTGACGAGCAAAAAACTAATCATCTGGCAAGGAAATTTTTCTAGAAACAGACAGAAACTCACCACTTTCCTTTATGAGGACCCACCCTCAGCTCAAGTAGAAAGCAGCGTTTTCCACGCTGTGGACAGTCTGCCATGTGGCCCCGCCTGGCATGGAGAAGCCAGTCTGTAATTACAGCCTGTCTTCCAAGAGCCAGGCATCTCCCAAGGCTGCACACCCTGGCCTTCTCCAAAATGGGAACAGGCAGGCAGAGGGCCCCCCACCTAACTCCCCTGCCTGACTTAACTCACTGGACCACCCAGCGGTTCTGGGGTAACCAGTCCCTGGGCAGGAGTAGGGGCGCTCTGCTCGTGTCTTTCACCACCCCGCCTGGGGCTAGACAACGCGTTTCTTTCCACCAGAGCAGCTGAAGTTCCACATTTTTGGCTCAGCTAGCAAAACAAAGCAAGATGTTCTTGGGAAACAACAAATGAGAACCGGGATGAGGGACACGTGACCTCCTCTGTGAAATGTATTTCTGACCAGTGAGTTTGCTCTCCTTGGCTGAACTGCCCCCTACGCAACGCTCCAAGATTGTAAAGGTCTCCATGAGCATCCTAAAGGACTGAAAGGAGAAGGCCTTTCTATCTTTCTTTCCTTCCTCCCTCCCTCCCGTCCTTCTGACTTCAACCAGCTCTTTCTTGAGTGCCTACTTCTTGAACCAGGCACTGCAGCAGAGAAGGCAGAGACCCAATCCCTAGCCTGTGCAACTGTTTGACTTGGCGTTTGGGGTGAGTGAGCACAGTCACACCTCACGGGAGCTCTCACTCACCAATGGCCTGCTATGCGCCCTACTGCCTTCTTGACAGGTATAATCCAGGAAGGGTGTAATCTCCATTGTACAGATGGGACAACAGAGGCTATGAACAATGACGTCACTAGTCCAAGTCATGCATCTGCTATGTGTAGAGCTGTGTGACACCACCTATGGCTGGGTGGAACTCAAAACCTGTGGCCTTAACCACCGCGCCACCCTGCCCCTGGGAACACCCCCGTTTGTGTCAGCTGGATTATAGGGTGCAGAAGATGTGGTCACGAGAGGGAAGACCTTACCCTGTGTTCCTCCTTCCCTCCGCTCCATTTTGCTTTCTCCTACTTGCACTTAGATTGGCCGTGAACCCCGACTGAAGCCTGATGGTGAAAAACACAAGGTTTGCCAGCATGGCTTTGGGGACCCCCTCCCATACTCCGTTCTGATGAAACTTCAACAACATTG